ATAGCTAGATGGAGAGTAAAGCTCCTCAGTCCCATTAACATATTTTTATTCATTCATGAGTTGTGAATGTTGCTGGCAAGGCCAGCATTTATTGTCCTTCCCCAATTACCCTTCACTGAATGCTTCGCTAGCATTATTACAGCTATGGTCTGGAGTCAAACATTGGCCAGAGCAGGCAGGATTGACAGATTTCTTAACCTAAACGAAACCAATGAAACTGATGAGTTTTTATGACAATCTGGTAGCTTCATTGTCACCATTATTGATACTAGCCTTCTTTTCCCAAATTTAAATTCCTCAAATGCTGTGGCGCGACCTGAACTCATCTCTGGATTATCAATCTAGCTTTCCAGATTACTAGCCCAGTAGCACAAACATTATACCACCATTCCCTCCAATGATATTCCTCATCCTCAACCCCAGTAACACAAATCTACTATTGCAGTATTTCCTTCATTTTCCATACCAGCCTCCCTTTGGCTTATCTGATTGACATTGGCAATTAGTTACCAAATTAGGAACATTTCTTGTGCTACAGGCCCATAGATATTGTGAAGCAATTGCTGTTTCACACAGGACCCTCATAACTGGCAAACATGGGAAATTTGCTTGGTTCAAACACAGCTTGCAGAGACAATCCTTATTATACTGTGCCATGCAGTTCCCAATTCTACATGCTTATGACCTTGCTACTGCAAAAACAAATTGGATGGATTTACTGTTTCATTCTTACTAACAGATGAAGCAGAAGTAGAGGTAGACAGTTTGGTTCTTCGAGCCTTCTACATTATTCAGTAAGATAATGGCTGATCTGTTTGTGTTTTGGCTTTCACATTGACATCTAGTCCCCTCGACAACTTTTGATTCTACTGCCAAACAAGAATCTATCCCCGTCTGCTTTAAAAAATATTCAATGACCCTGCTTCAATTGCTTTCTGAGGTTGTTTCAAAGTTGCACAACCCTCTGGGAAAAATAAATTCTCCTCCATTTGTCTTTAAAGGGTGTCCCCTAATTTTTAAAAATACCCTTTTACTTTAGACTCCCCCCCCCGCCCCCCCCACAAGAAGAAACATCATTTCCACATCCACATTATCAACGTGGAAAAAGCTACAATCATTTCTGAAGAAGGGTCACCGGACGCAAAACGTTAATTCTACTTTCTGCCAGACCTGCTGAGTTTTTCCAGCAATTTCCATTTTTGTTTCAGACATCGGCAAACTGGAGTCCCTCATGAATAGAAGAGATAGATTTACTACTTTCCAGTCTGATGGAACTTTTCTTGAATTTATGAATATTTGGAAAATCAATACCAATGCATCTATCAACTCATTAGCCACCTCCTTAAAGACTCTATGTTAAGTCCCTCTCTACCTGATATTTGTCAGACTGTAGCTTCATTAGTTTGCTTATTACTGCTTCCTTGGTGGTGGTAATTTTGTACTTTCCACTCTCCCATTCTCCCCTGATTTACAGCTATTTTGGAATGTTTTATGTATCCTTTACATGAAAGCAAGCAAAATATTTGTAATTTCATCCACTGTTTCCTCATTATCTGCTATTAACTCTCCATTTTCTCGCTGTCTATATATAGAAGACGCGCAACTCATTTTACATTTTCTTCCTGTTTAAATACCTGTCTTGTTCTGTTTTGACATTTCTAGCTAGCTTCCTTTTATACTGTGTTTTTTTTCCTCCTGATTAACCTTTTAGCATTCCATGCTGTTCTTTTATATTCTGACCAATCCAGAGGAGGTGGTAGAAACAGATACACTAGCAAAGTTTAAGAGTCATTTAGACAGGCATATCAACAGTCAGGGGCGTGCAGTTAGATGGGATTAGTTTAGAATGCCATCATCGTCAGCACAGACATGGTGAGATGAAGGGCCTGTTCCTTTGCTGTACTGTTCTATTTTCAATCATCTGATCTCACACTTATTTTTGCACAGTTGTATGTTTTTTCTTTAAGTTTGATTTTTCTCTGACTTCTTTACTTAACCACGAATTGAGTTCTTACTTTTAGAATTTTTTTCTTCATAGTAGCCATATACTTTTTGTGAGTATTTTGAAATATCCCCTTAAAGGTCTTCCTTTTTATTATTCATCTGTCCTCTAGCCTAGTATGTTAGTTCACTTCAACTAGCTCAGCTTTTATGCCCATGTAATTGCCTTTATTTAAGATTAAAATACTAGTCTTGGATTCTCATCTTCTCCCTTGCAAACTCAACACAAAATTCAATCGTATTGTAGTTGCTGCTACCTCGGGGCACCTTCACTCTGAGGCGTTGAATTAGTCCTGTCGCATTGCACAATACTGCTTTCAGGTCGATTCCAGAGCGTGCAGCTGTAAGAAACTATCTTGAAAGCATCTATGAACTTCTCATCCAGCTTATTGCATAATTTTTCAGTTTATGTATATGTTAAAGTCATCCATGATTATTGTCATTTTTTTAACATAAGCACCCAATATTGCTTCTAGTATACTTTGTCCTACATTGTGGTTACTGGTATTGCAGGCCAATAGACCATTCCCACTGGTGACTCCTTCATCTCGCTATTCCCTATCTCTACCCAAAATCAATTCTACATCCTAATCTCATGAACAAAAATCATCCCAAACTATTACCCCTTGATATCCTATAAATATCGTCCTATCCCTCCACCTTTACCTGGCTTCCTAGTTTTCTTGAAGGTCATATAACCCTCAATATTCTGGACACAGTCCTTGTTATTCTGCAGCCATGTCTCTGAAATGGTAATCAGATCATATTTATTTACTTCAATATCAAGTCATTTACTTTGTTATGAATGCTACTTGCATGCAGACACAAAGCTTTTAGTTTTGTTTTTTGTTATCTTTGTAACAGCGCATGTTGATTGTTGGCGCATTCGTAGGTTTTCTTTCCTGTCTGTCTCTTCCTCATATTCTCTGTCCCTCATTTCCCATAATATATTTTCCTGTCTTACCTTGTCTCTACTCTTTGACATTTTACATCTTTCTACATTTGATACCTTTGGTTTAGTTTAAATCTCTATTTCCCTAATTATGTAGTTTGCAAGAACACTGACCCCAGCACAGTTCAGGTATAGATCCAGTACTGGGGCCAATGCGTCATGAGCTGGAACCCACTTATCCCATGTCAGCCTTTTAAGCCACATATTCACCTCTATACTTTTATATGCCTTATGTCAAAATGCATACAGCTCAAGTTATAATCCAGAGATTATAACATTTGAGACTCTGTTTAACAATTTAGAGCCCAGCTCCTCATACCCTCTCCTCAGAAACTCTTACTTGTTCTACTTGTATCGTTGGTATCACATGGACCATGGCAGCTGGAACCTCCTCCTTCTACCATAAATTCCTCTCCATCCCTGAGCAGATGTCCTCC